CGATGCCGATTCGGAGTCGCGGAGAACCTAACGGGTAACCGGGGCTCCGGGTCGACGTGCAGGAGAAGGAACGGGGTGGTTTTTAGTCAGTAAGAGTCTGACACTCCCTTCCGCCTCACCCAGGCGGGAGCGGTCATTCGATGATTTTCCCCCCTTAAAAAAAAAAAAAAAAAGCTACTTCCGCGCGGTATCACACGCTCTGCTCAACTCCTATTGCTAGCAGCGTGGTATTTTATAGCCTATAGCCATCCTCGATAAATGCGCTATCCAACACAAAAAGAATTATTTACATCACACTTGTAGTAGCGCGTTCAAACAAAAAAACAAAATCTTCCGCTTTAGAGGTATATAATAGTATAAGATATAAGATAAGATTAATTTATTAAATACAATGATGTAAGGTTCCTTGTACCTTTGTGACCGACACCTAACTCAAAAGATGAGATGAATGAATTAACAATACTCAACAAATGAGATAGATACTCGATAGTCAACCCGTACACAACATAGCAGGTACAAAAAATTCAGAAAGATGGATCTTGTATGGCATAGTTCAAATTGCCGACAATTAACATGGAAAATCCTTTAAAAAACCGTTTTCTCTTTTCATAACTCTTAAAATCAGTATGTAGGTTATAAGAAAACTAGGGAAGTTTACCAAACAGGCAATGAAACACGTCCTAGATGAATGTAGGTATACGTGTGACCTGTACGCCATTGTAGCGCTACTAGATCTGGGTTTAACTAAGCTAATATAAAAGTTAACGACGCCATTATTCTAACGCGCTCTTTCAAAATCACATAAAATGTTACGTCGGGTTTTAGGAAGCGGGTGCTTTGTTCTGCAATGCTTACCTATTTTAGTTCATAATATTTGCATAGGACAAATTGAAATATATTTTTTAATTTTTAAAGAATGTGAAATTTAACGTACTTATTGTAAGGTTAGGTTACTTGTTACTAGTAGGTATATAATAATGAAATTCACAAATGAATCAGATCATGTAAATTAAAAGACAACTTTCGTAACATTTTCTATCATTAAGAAAGGGCATAGCAACGATCAAAACGAGAAAATAAACATTGGAACGAAAAGTCAAAACATCAGGAAATCACGAATGCATTTAACAGCGAGTTATAAACAAAAGAAATAGGGCGAGAGAACACGCGGTGGACGCCGGTACTGCCAATTATAAACATGACATTCAAGATGTTGGAGCATCCAAAATTTAAATTAGGCCTTCTCCAGCGTTCCCAAATTAGCCACATAGGTGGACGGTAACTGGGCCAGACAATAAGAGAATAGTGAAACTGTATATTACAGGACGGTTGTCGGCGAGTGGGAGCAAGCCATCTTAATAACGCTAATAATGTACGGTAGATTATTTTAAGAGCAGCGACCAAGCCAATTTTTAAAACCACTACATGTCGACCCCTACCTTCTCCTTTGAAGTTTTATAACAATGAAGTGTCCGAAGAGGTTTCCAACAAGTTGGCAGGTCGCCTGAAACTGGCGGAGCTCACGCATCCGCGAAACGATTATGTAGTTGCGAAGTTTTCTCTCCGCACAGAGGACGTTGACCAGCCATAAAGTAATGAGATTATTTATGCAATATAAAAATGCATTTCGTAAATTTGTTTAAAGATTTACGTGCTCGAGTTATTTATGATCCATTAGTTTGTAAACGAGGTCTGTCTATTGTTATAATCGTTGTTTTGATGGACGAATACTTCTCTATGATGGTGGTAGTTGGGTCTAGTAAGAGGTTATTGACACGATTTTTTCAATTTGTTTGATGGCTTCATTTCATATTTACATTACGAGGAGATTCACCATAAACTTCACGGTATACCGTAAACACTTTTAGTTAGTGTTGAGCTAGTTAATATCGGTTAATCACAGTTGTAGATATGTCTACCAATGCCATCTCATTTAGTAAAATTTTAAAACCAACAAAAGGTAATCGCTCATGCATAGAATCAGCAAAATAATGTTTCGAAGGGATACTTAGGCCTTGCATAAATCATGCTACAGTTCTCAGAAACCTTAACGGCTGCGAATGGCATCGCATTGAACAGAATTGGGCAAATGTTCTGAAGTGGGAAGCTAAAGGTGGCAGCGAGCCAAGTCATCACAGTAATGTAGACATTACTATAAAAGTATGAGAAGTGGATACAAATAAAGATGCCTTATTTAACTCAGAAGCGTGTTGACCTAAATGTGTACAGAGTGAAGTGCTGTAATAATATAACAAAGCTGTTATTAGTTTAGCTAATACACTGTGTAAACTGTTTATTATTAGTTATGAAACTGTTTTATAAAGGTCTAGTAGGTGTTTTAGTTTTTATTTGAAGTAATAACTTTAAAGATTTCTATTCCCGTGATTTGGTCGTATGGGCATTGGTCGTATTTAAAAGATATATAGAGTTGATTTGATTCTACAAACACGTGGGAAACTCATTGCCCATAGGTGAATCACAGCACTACTGCGCCCATCGCGGCATCGTACAATGAAAACATTGCTTTTGAAAAACAATACAATGTATCAGTAATCTTCATGACACGTGTGTAATAAATTTGATTAAATTTTCATAAGCGTACGACATTAGTCACAATCAATGACACATGTTGAGTGCATGTGCAAGGGCTCGCCAACGCACCTGGCGGTGCTTTCACGATCTGGCGCCGACCGCTAGACTGTATCAAATTCCTGGTGTTTAATTTTACACATTAACCGATGAGTAGTATATGGGTAATCTTTATCAGATAACTTTATTGATACTTAGGTAGATCAGTTAGCGGATAACTGAAAAATCCACACCACAGACGTCAATGAAATCAATAAGCCAGACGCGAATGTTAACCGAAAAACTAAGCCAGGTTGCCCAATTAAAGGGATGGAGCCTGAAAACAGTTATGGAGTTAACATCTTTAACATCAAAATCAGGTCTCTAGATAGGTACTCATATGTATATGTACGTCTGTACATCAATCGAGGTAGTGCCATTGATACCGGTCAACCCATTCGGTTACGCACGGGGCGACCGGCCGTCTGGTTTCCATCAGGCCACATTACATTCGGCTGTACGGAACATACGTCTTGAATCTTTATGTTGGTACTTTAATGTTCCAAGCGACTGTACGTACTCATCATAAAAACGATGTTCATATCGGTGGAGTTACATTTACTGAAGTTAAGACTCGATACCGGGAACGAAACGAGGAAAATGTTTTAAAGTAGGCACCTAATGTTTTAATCTCTGACAAATGGAAATTCTCAAATAAGTTTTCCTCTAACTTTGATGTAGAATACCAATGACCAAAGGTTACACTTAAGTATGTGGGATTGATAGAAACAAACAAATTCATTGGATCTTAAACCAAACATATCAATCAAGTGCAGGAAGCAATAGACAGGGGAAATATACACAGGAAAATTACTTTTTCTTACGTGTTCTGTATTGAAAGGTCAAAGTTTAAGACTTATGTATAAGTCAGACTTATTATGATGGATTTAGAAGTCCAGAAATAATAACTGAAAGGTTATAGTCACGTAACAGTTAGCTACACTACAAGCATATATTTTTGGAAACGTAATCCACTTCTGATTTGAAAATATACAGGCGACAAGCACATTAATTATTATATTTTAATAATCAGCTAGACTTGTCGACTATCAAATAAATAAGATCAAAGCTCGAATCTTAATTTAATATTCGAAAGTATTAGTTATTGGGGACGAACTATTAAAAACTGCATCGGGCATGTTCGGTCACGCTCGGATCTTGACCGACATCCCGGAGTGGTTACTTGTGTACTCATATTTTTATGTCAAGCTGCTGGGAGAGGAAGCCATTACTAGCCTGTCAATGGCGGCTAGACGAAGCTTTGCTATGTATACACGAGGGCTGTTTGTCTGTATTTCTTGCTTAACTTGGTTGTTACCTATATATGTAGCCAACTAGTTAGTATTGTTTTTACAAAATAGGCAACTGTTCCTTTTAACCGTTTGAATGCCTGTATATGAGACACAATAGAAAATACATTATGTTTCGCGTGGATCCACGTTTAGACACACGACGGGTTAAAGAACTCTGTCTTAATTGGTCACGTTACTTAGTAGAACCACTTGAGATAATTCACAGCCTCAGGGGTTTGTAAAGACTCTCATTAATAGATGATTATTAATAAACAAGCATTTACTTTAATAATTTACTGTTACGTACTAAATTCATTTTAGCATTTAACAAAATTCCGAGGTGACACCGCGTGTCACCGCTAGGCGACAGTATTCGCAAATCACGCGATATTTCGTAACTCTACGTAATGAGGTCGCCTAGCTTTTAACCGCACACTAATACATCATTGTTATGTAACAGACACATTATGTACTCGGTTATATACTGAGACAACACATGAACACACGCCCAGATGTTAACACGGTCACGACAACTTGTTGCTATATTGTTCTTTCTGACAACTCCATCCACAGGAACATTCACGGTGTCCTTTTTTATGGGGGAAATCATCGAATGACTTCTCTACCACCCCGTTCCTACTCCTGCAATTCAAGCCGGAGCCCCGGTAACCTTTTACGTTCTCCGCGGCTCCGTATCGGCATTAGCCCTATGGAGCCCCATCCGTGGTGGTCTGATGGCTCTTTGATTCCTAAGTTAGGTTATAACGTCGATAATCAGTCGACTTAAAAATACATCAATACTTAGTTGTTGATTTGATACTACTAAGTTTTCTAATCATAGATATAGCAAAAAATGTGGCAATAGCGAATTACGGAGGGCGATAGCCTAAAGTGCCCAAACATAAATAAAACTATACTTGAAATTTAAGTAATGCCAAATTGCTTGTAGGGAATATTTCTTCCTGAATTACTTAATTGTATTTATGCAAACATTTTCGTTTTGGTCCTCTTATACCTATCTACTATTTATCATACATTATAAGCTCTTTCTTCTGCGCTTCTTATTCTAATTCCTCTTACCTTCCTTCGTCATCAGTCTTGGAGGTGACAGTCTTTTTCCTGGGGTGGTTCTTCTTGGGTCGTACAGCCAGCTTGTGCTTGGCAGCGGAGGCGTCCAATAGTTCGGCCTTGATGTCCAGCTCAGGGTCGAGCCGGGATTTCCTGGACGGGTAGGGACCATGTTATTGGATGAAATGGTTGTTAGTCTTCATTCATGAGGGGACAAGAGTTTAAAGAAGATTGTATTGGGATCGATTTGTAGTATTTGTAGTCTGTTCTTCTTCTGTTTAAGGAGTCTTGTTGGAGTTTGAGTTGTGAATTTATATATGTGCATTTGGTTGTTTATGGTTCAAACATGGCTGAGTATAATGTGTTGAAAGGTAGGTATTGTGTACTTGTAGTATTTATAGTTATAGCTTATGATAGGTACCTACCTACTTTGATAACTATACTTATTCCTAACAAAGGTATTGCTTAGCCCTTGATGGTAAATGGTATGTCAATTATAGATAACGTTTGTTTAAAATAATGTTTGTGAACTATTAAATATTGGTGCTATTTCATATGTTTTACAGAATACAAAACTGTTACAAACTCTGTACTTAGAACTTTTGTTTAGATAAAACTTCATTATCCTGTTATGTATGTAAGACTCTCGATAACCAATTTTCCGGCACAACTACAAATCATGACGAATCCACACAAATTTTCCTGCTTTCCTTCTATAATATAAGAAGAATATCAATAATCTCAGCCGACTACTAAGACGAACGATGACTAGCCAGCTCAAGTACATTATACTCAGAAATTGCCCTCATCTGGGTACCGTGTGCACCCTATCGAGTGATTCATACAGCCGTTCATTTAAAAAGGAAAATCTTTCAAAACATTTATTGTTGTGGAAAAATTCGATACGTCTGCCAAATGAGTTTCAGGGAAATTCCTCATGTTCGTAGGTATTCATAAAAGTGTGTTATTTATTTGCTTGACGTAAACAAGTAGTAAATATTTAGAGGTACATACGTAACGTTCAACTGTAACTGAAGAAAATATTATCTAAGTAATATATTGTTGTACTGGCGATTTATTGCATAGTTTGTAGAACATGCGTCGAGGTAAAGGTAAGATGTGTAAGATGTAATTATATTCACACGAATAAGTATATGAGTAAGTACCTAAAAAATAATTCTTCTAAAGTTTTCATCAATTTAGGTGTCGCGTGCTTTATTTATAACCTAGATAAGTATCTACATGGCTTGCAAGTACTAAAGCTTCACTTTTAATGTTTGTTTCGCTTCACGAAACGCTTTTCTAGAGTAGTAGATAAAAATACATGAATACAAATATTTGAATTATTTTATCAATCCCAACGTCTAAGAAAGCAAAGATGTTTTGCAGTTCACTTTCAGTGCTCCCACAGTAGCTTGGTTCTTGACGTCGCCCTATTATCCTTTTATTTTTATATAAATTTTATTAGAGTTGTAGTTATGCTAATGATGGACACAATGGGGTTGTCATGTCCTATAGCTAGGATATAAACCCCGTCCAAAATACTCTGATAAAAATATAATAATATTTGAATTCGTAAACTCACGTTACGAACGCCCTAATCTATCTCGCAACCCGACACTTTGAACTTAGGTTAAGTAAGTCATGCTTATATTTTATCTACAAACATAATATGACAACTTACCCATTTTACCTAAATCAAATTGCGAAAGCTAAAGCTGTGAGTTCGCGAGAGCAGAGTCACGGTGGTTCGAAACATCACGGCCAGTCATAAAACATAGTGATTTACGGTAACTTTTTGACAAACAATACAGGCGATATTTTATAATAAATAATGCTCGTTTGGACAGGCGAGGCTGCGGCGTGTCGTCGTCATGTGACGTGGTGGGACACCTCACTGTCATGGCTGAACTGGATCAGGTTGCATCATGTGATCTGTCGTAGATACACGATCGGGTTTCCCACTTCTTGGCAGAAGCACCTACTTAAACGTGCGCATCCATTTTTTTATTTTCCTACGAAATTACAGAGCTTTATGCTACGTATGTAGCTAGGTAGACATATTGACGTGATTTGTCTAGACTGATAGAAGTCACAAATCTTGTTACTTCTATTATTAAAGTAAATTAATAATATATTCATGACTACGTGAACATTCAATAGGAGAAAGTATGGACTGAAGTATTGTTTTAACAATGCAAATGGATGCTTGGGATGAATGACCTTACCTAAGTACCTATTAACACTGTCACGGAAGGTCACTCATCAAGTGCAATCCATCACTGAGCTAATTATGCAGGTGATGTTGGTGTCACTAGCGCTGCCACTTAAAGCTACAGTCTTATTTTTTGTCTAGAAATTATAGATTGAGTATCTATATATTTATTTCTCTATGCTTATCTATTACTAGAAGTATAAGTTGAGTTTCTATCGGATTTTAAACATTAATAGGTACTTAATTATGCTCACATAGTCACATGAGATTATCAAAGAACGTAGGAATGATTTTATGCCGATGGTTCTGCTAAATGACATATTCTTAGTGTTGTTATTATCTTCTCAAGATTTTCCTGGTACACACAGCAGCACTTATGAGTTATCTGATTAGGTAGGTATCGTAATATCTCGTACTTTGTAGGTATGTACGCTTAAATTGACTTCAACATAGAACTGCAGATATTTACTTATACACATAAAATAACATCACGCCTTTTATCCCCGAAGGGGTAGGCAGAAGTGCACATTACGGCACTTAATGCCACTGTACAATGTAACACCTACTTTTCACTATTTATGTTATGAGTCCCATGTAATAGGGGATGAGCCTATTGCCATATACCTGTCATACTTCCAGATTCCGTGCTAACTACTGAGATTTTTTATAAGACCTATTAATAATATTAAGCCCGACCCGGGAATCGAACCCGGGACCCTTTGCTCGGCTGTCGCACTTGCGACCGCTCGGTCAACGAGGCATATTTAGGTACTCTTATTTTAATGAAAACCATTTTTGTTTCAATTTGGATGAGAAATGTTACATGGAAATTGCATCATCTTATAAATTTCAGGCATTTGTTTTGTAGTGGGAGGGAGCATCTGTGAAACAACTATAAATGAAGTATTAAATATTACTGTCTTAATAGTTCAATGACTTTTAAACCATAATTATAAATATTTTCATTAACTAAACTTGAAATGTTTACTTTCCATAAATAATGTACGTGTTTCACTTCGTCAGGGAAATATTGAATTTAGGCCATGTTTAATAAAGTCATCGCACCGTGGACGCAGACAGGCATCACACACACATCACAAAATGTTTGTACCATCACTAATTAAAGAAGTCAATGTGTTCCTATTTCCATCATCCATCTTCTTAGGTTAGTCACCATGACTGGCAAAATCTCTTTACCTAATTTCTTCTTTTTTTGAGGGGGGAAAATCATCTAACGAATTCTCTCGCCTGGGTGAGGAGCGAGGGAGTGTCAGACTCTTACTGACTAAATTAATACCACCCCGTTCCCGTTCCTACACTCCTGCGTCGCGCCGGAACCCTGGTATTACGCTAGGTAGCTAATACTAAGAGGACCCTTCAATTGCGGATGGTGGCCACCGGGGAGGTTTTAGTGACATAAAAATCCCACACTCACTAGTCTTTTTCCCCAAAAAGCTAGCGCCTTTGGAAGGTTTCCCCGCGTCAACAAAAAAAAAAAAAGGTACACTGGCAAGGCTGACACATATTAGTTTATTATACGGTTCGTCAAAGTATCCAGCAGTCATTTAAGGCACAGTACATCCTAAGTTGGCGTGTGCGGTTATTTGTGGCTGTCCCAGAAACGACGTGACGTCAATACGACACAGTTCGAAATGGGGTTAACTCGTAATTGTTGGAGCTACCTCCCCTTAATAAACTTGTGCAATATTATAATTATAATGTAAACTGTTTTCGTTTTACTATGTTGATGTATTGGGTTTGTATCGGTATACCTAAGAACTTATAGTTATTGGCACTGTATCTCTACAAGACATAAGTAAGTAAGTACACTAATGATTATGGCAGTAAGTATTTTAAGAAAAGCATTTTCATATTTCTAATTATTCAAATATGGTAAAATCCTCATATTTTTATCTCATTACTTTTCAGGCTAAACTAAAGAAACCGTAGGTACATATATGAAGGTACTAAAAATATTTTCAAGATGTTATTTTTTTACCCATTTGTATTCTTAAAATGCTTATTGAAATAGATGCTTGATGAAATTCATCAGATCAAAGATCGATCCTAAACAGGCTCACAATATATTCCTCACCAAAGCATTAGCATCTTCCATCGCGGCAGACATCAGAATTTTTTGTGGCATAAGTACTTCATTCTTTATGAAAATACGTCCAAAAGACCTCATGGTTGACGTTGCATCGAAAATATCCTAATAAACAGCACTGGTATACTCAATCACAAGAAAACCTTGTAGAGAGGAAGTTTACGCGAGTGAAGTAGGACGTGGTGTTAGCTGGGCTAATCCGGTTGGGTGAGGTCAGGTCCAGAATATTAAGGAGTCATTTATAACTGTTTCAGGGTCGATCAACTTAGGAAATTAGCTCTTTATGGCTTTAAATCTAAAATTATACGTGATATATTAATAATTATTGTAAGTTTTGCTTTTCTTCTGGTTCGGTTCATTGTTTATAGACTGACATTGCCACATACTCTATAATATAAAGTACAGCGTTCACTCCGCTGTCCTTCATGTCATTTAACTTACTATTATTTAACTACATTTACAGGATATAACGCACTAGATATAGTAGCTTAATAACTATATCTAGGTAGATCTATAGAACCTAGGTATACAATAGATTGTAGGAATGGAATTTGACCACTTCATCCACATCTGAAGATGGTACATGCCTACAGTTGACCAGAAATGTTAAGTTCTTACAAAGTCGTCGCACGCGAATCATTTAAACATAGCAAAACGTGTGAGTCGTATATATTAATTCTCGTGTACACTTTAAGAGCAATAGAAGCGTCAAAAAGTCCATTACAGTGGCGTTGGAAGCACAGACTATTTGATATGAGACTGTGCCATTGCCAATGTGTTACCTGGACGAGACTGGCAATCCGCCAGACCTGCAGACTTTATCCTATACCCTGCCCTGCGGTTCTACCTGGGAATTTTCCCATTATTTCACAAATATCCTCTTAAATGCTTCATGTCCAGTTTTATTGCCACTGGTGGAATTTCCAGATACTTGAGTTCCGAGAAAGAAATGATGCTTAGTTTTATAGGTTTGTTGATTTAATAGGGTTTATAGATATCTGTTATTTATAGTGTGCTACTAATAAAGTTATGGTGTATTAAACTTATAAGAAGGTCGCTGACCTACATTAGTTTGAGGATAGAGTTTTAATATTATATATTTTTGTCAAGGAGGGGAACCTTCAAAAGGCACCTAGGTCTTTGGAGAAAAAAGACCCACATTTTCTAAATGTGGGATTTTTACCTCCCCGATGGTCACCTAATCAAGACACCGGGTCCTATAAGTAGACTAACCCCAGAGCCCCCAAGGTACCTCCCTTTATACCTAGCTACCTACCACAAATACTAATGTTTTGTTTATTGCACAATGATAAAACACGTGTATGTACGAATTGTTGAACATAATATCATTTCGTTCAAAATGATATCTGTGACTCAGAATTCTGTTTGTAAAGAAAAAAACTGTATATTTCTCATAAAAGTCAGCCATAAATATTAGCGCGGGAACAAGAACACGGCGCTTACGTGTGTCGTGTGCTTCTACGACAAGAATAATAACATCATCTAAATATACTAACATTTATTTTACATTCTATCACAAGAATTTGATTCCTTATTCTTAAATAATCCTTATAATATAACTGCATAGAAATAATCAAGTATCAACTAGGTATAACTAAATAGATACAACGTTTAATTCATAACATATAACATCACGCCATTTATCCCCGAAGGAGTAGGCAGAGGTGCACATTACGGCACTTAATGCCACTGTACAATGTAACATCCACTTATAGTGTTATGATTCCCATGTAATAGGGGGTGAGCCTATTGTCCTCTACCGACCACATTTCCAGACTTCGTGCTAGTACTGAGAATTTTTTGTTAAAACCCAGTAATACTTTGCCCCACCCGGGAATCAAATCAGAGACCCCCGGCAGTCGCACTTGCGACCACTCGGCTAACGAGGCAATCATTTTACGAGACATCAACGTTTAATTCATTTGTTCATGAAATCAGTAATCGTGACTTGTTGCATAAATTATAACTACTAATATAATTATAAATAACTAATATAACTTATTGTGGTGTATTATTTATGATCCAACTAGTAAGTGGCTGAAATTCAAATAAATATCTTAGGATTCATTGGTACACAGATAACTTACTGCAGTAATTAATTACAGAATAGATTTGATTCACTAATTATTGTTACTGTTAAATAGGACAACCATTTACCATCAAGCGAGCTACATAATATATTCAAACCATAAAATTAACTTCTAGAGTGATGTCCGATATTATGTGTAGGCGTATCGTCGTGTGCAATGTTGATTTACTTCGAGCGAACTAAATACCAGAGATATCGGAATTTTATTTACATTATGAAATTGTATACTCGCATGCCTAAACCATTCTGCATTGAAAAGAAACTCCGAGAACTTTATTACCTTTATTATAAATGTTCCTAAATGATATACAAACGTTTAAACATATAACATAATATGAATGTGTCAAGCCACAGTGGCGTAATGATACAAAGTTATCACAATACAGTAATATGTCGATCACAACATATAATGATAAATACAACATACATGACGGTGTGCAAGCGAAGATATATACAATGCGACATGATCCGATCTTCTGTCTTCAATATCAATGATAGTACATTTTGTAGGTCGGAACGCTAAACACATAGTCCAAGGATGGACCTCTGGTTTTGAAGAAATGATTCTCGTAACAATATACGCGGCCTCTGTACCTGCATCAACAATGTCTTTATTTATTACGTCATCAGCGGTGATCGTGAGGCAATGGTGGTGATCTTAGTACGTGATTGTTCAGCGGTGATTTATTATTGCTGTAGTATTGATTAGTTTATGTGGTGATTACCATACTTTTGGTTTTGAAACGTTAGAGACAAGTCAGCTAAATGCATCATTCTTAATTTTGAAGATCAATGTTGATAGAAGTTATGCAGTATATGAATGAAACGCCTCACAAGGTCGTTTAGCTCTTGAAATATCCGAGCATGTTCAGTAACCCAAATTTCGCGATGCAAGAAGCTGTCCCTTCGATTAAAGCCAGATTCCAGTGGTAGTTATTCAAAGGCGTCGAAATGATAATGGATATTAATGTGTTCACACGGGAGATGGAAAAAACAAACGTGTAAATTAAGATATATTATAGTGTGTTGCGCAAACGGCGGTGCAACGAACTCGCCGCTAAAATTACACAGTATCGAAGTCGCAGCAGGAATGCTGGACGCATCGGAGCTATTAAAATGCATTCTTGACATTTATACTCCTTCCGCAACACATTCCCGCTGGCGAATATGATACTGCCACTTGGAGGTGTCAGTGGGCTGTTATGTTCTACGTGTGGAGTTTACGTGTATCGTGTTACATGTGCGGCGCCAGCGCTGTGGGAGCTCCGCGCGGCGCCGGAGTCCACTAGTTACATGTGGTAATGCCGTTATTTACAGATCAGTTATGAACAAGAGTCGTATTGTTATACATATTTGTGTTATTCAACTGGGAATGATGATCGAAATTGTAAATTCAACACTTAAAAAATATTAACAACAATTAATTATTTACACAACTAGATACACATGAACAGATGTCGTAAGATTTTGTAGCTCGGTTATATTTCGAATTGGATGATTGTTATTAATAAATTGGTTTATGAAAAACTATTAACTAAATATTATTTTGGTAACCGAGTTTAGAGTTGGAGTAACGATCAGTTTCACATCGCGCGCATGTCTGTACAGTTTATTTACGAAATACATCAATGAGGGCACAGTTGTGCAAAGCTCATGCCAATAATAAATATGTACTCACTTTGATCCGAGGGCTGACTTGGTGTCGAGAACCTCTACGATGTCGCCGGCCTTCAGAGACACTTCGTCGTCTGCAACAGCTGAGTAGTCAGCTGATGCAACCACAACGTCTTCTACCTGCAACAAAACAAAATAAATTGTTCATTTCGTCCTAGGTATTGCAATAGGCGTTTACGCGGTGGTCGAAAATATTACCTTAGGCGGGCTCCTACTACAACTAGATCTAGATCTAGAACTGGACATGGAACGAGAGGGGTATCGTTTGTAACTTGGCGTCGTTTCCAAGCTACTCATTCGACTCCTAGTGTTCTCTCTGTCTAACAAGACGCCGCTGTATCTGCGCGACCAGCCGCCCAGTCTAGTGATCTTCTGATTGTTGCTTATGTTGCAGTACCCGGTGAACGACTGCAGGTCTTCGTCATCATCATCTACTACAGGACAGCTGTACATCGAAAAACGATGTGCTGTTGGCTGACTGAGGTTTAAAGCTGAGAATACGTGTAGTGGTTCAAAATGTCGAATTCCATTTTCATCAAGGACTGTATACGCCACTTCACCGGTCAGTACGGAGCGACTTGCTTCACGAGGAACCACCGCTTGCAAACCCTTCTTCATAATCAACAAAGCTCCTTTCTGTTTTCTTCTTTGGAATAAAAAGTCTTCCATTGCCAGGCTGTTTTCTGGGTCTAGTAAATTCAATGGAACGTCTTCAGAAGTCATCAATGGAGTTTCCTCTGGAACAATCATCAACGCAGCACTTTCTCTTACTAAATCCCTTAGTTTAGGATCTGTGCGAGCCAGTGATGGGTCTGTTTCCAGTTTGTGTAGCGCGGAATGCAAGCTCGGTGTGTTATCAGCTAGTTTTCGCATGACAGTCAGTCTCTTCAGAATGTTCAGGCTTGTAGGGTCAGATGCTATTTTAGACATGCTGTCTTCATCATTTATCACTGATATTAAATTAGCGGCCACATCTCTTAGGCCGAGAATTCTTGCAAGTCCGACAGACTGTGTAATTAATTCTTTAAGATTTTCTTTATCTTTGTCTTGGAATAATACTTCCAACTCCTTGGTACTTGCCTCTTGTACCGCACAGACTATCGCCTTTTGTAATGTTTCTGTGACTTCGCGGTCAGATTTCACGAAAGAAATAGATTCTGAAATACGACCAAGAACGTGATGAAGGAGGCTAGAGTCGATTTTTGAAATATTTTTGAAGGCTGGCCCCAGTACTTCATTTTCACTGCTCAGATATTCTCCGAATTTTTCAATTATGTCATCTTCAGTGAAGGAATGTTTGTGCAATGTATTGTTGACGGCAATTTTGATCAATTCAACCTTAGGCTGGGAGGAATTCTCAAGGATTTCTTCACGAAGTAATTCTTTATCTTCTTCCTTTTGCAGAATATTAAACATAGCAGATACAAGATCTTCATCAATCGTTTTTCCTAAGATAGTGTCAATAGATTTTAGAATCATTTGATACTTTTCTTTACTATTGTTGTTATTAACTTCCTCGAATTGTTCTGCAGTAACCAATGCAGCTAGCACAGCAGCAGCGATAGAGTTTTTAACATGTTCTTGATGAGCTGATTGTCCATTGCCGCCGGAAAACCCAACATGGTCTTGTATATCCATTCGTTTCTTGCCATTTTTCTTTTTCATATCATTTGGTAATCCATATTCTTTGCGGTTTTCATGGATTTCGGATTTCAAATGAGCACTCATTTCAATTATCGAAGTAATTACATCCATCAATTGATTTGCCACTTCATCTTTTAAACCAAAATCTGTTACAAAAGCCTTCAATGCTTCAGCATTTCTTGTGTGATTTAGTACAACGTTGATAGCAGGTAACTCAGCGGGTACTTGTCTACCAATTGACATTCCAGCTTCAGAAAGTTGTCGTAGCATGTTCGTATCTATAGTCAATTCTCCTTTTGTTGAAGTCGTATCGTTCGGGTTTGTTTTGACTTTGAGTAACTTTAATTCTTCAGGAGTAACAACAAAGCTCTGAACAGAAAACTCAAGTCCTTCATCACCCTCAGTAAGATCGGGAGCAACGAACTTTAATCCTTCTGGAGTCTGAACAATTTGTCCAGGAATAAATGTTACGCCATTATCATCAGTCTCTATGACTCTACCGGGAACAAATCTTGGACCTTCCTCGGTATCAACGACTTGACCAGGCACGAACCTAGAACCTTCATCTTCTGTGGAAATGACTTGACCTGGGATGAATGTTGGACCAGCTTTAGTTTCAATAATTTGACCAGGTACGAAACGTGGACCATCGATTGTGTGTATGGTCTGACCAGGAACAAATTTAGGTCCAGATTTGGTATTTACAACTTGTCCAGGAACAAATTTGGGTCCATCAGCTGTATCCACCACTTGACCGGGAACAAATTGTTCTCCATTTTCCGTAAATACTATTTGACCAGGAACGAATATGCCTTCAACCATCATTCCAGGAACAAATCGAGATTCATTTGCTTCATTCTTTACAAGTCGCCCTGGGACGACCTTGCCTTCTAGTTTTGGCATCCTTGGTCCGGGATAAAATTCAATTCCTTTCGCTGTTTGCACCATGTGTCCAAATACATACAATGATTCTTCAGAAAGAGAACAAGTTTTTATATCAATAGGCAGCCCTACGGGTGCACCTTCACTGAATGTGATATCTTCAATGGACTTTGCAACAGAAAATTCAACATGTCCGTCTGCTTGTACGATTGTTTTTCCTGGCATGAATTTTTCACCACAGTCAGTGTGTACTAATTGTCCTTCAATGAACTTCGGCCCATCGATAGTTTCAACAGTAGTTCCAGGAACAAACTCCAGCTCATTGTTGCTTCTTGTTTTAGTAATGCCAGGTATAAAACAAGTTTCGCCATCAATAGAAACTGTCTGACCTGGAACAAATTTAAGACCATTGGGTGTAGCTATCGTGGCTCCTGGTACGAAGTGCAATTCGTCATCTTGATGCAACACTTGTCCAGGTACAAACTGCCACTCATTGTTAATCTTTGCATTTTGTCCAGGAGTAAATGTTATGCCATCATTTTCCATTATTGTTTGTCCTGGAATAAATTGTACTCCTTCGGGTGTCATCAAAGTTTGTCCAGGTACAAACACATCCTCGGGACCAGTATTTATTATTTTACCAGGTACGAACTTGAGGCCTTCCTCAGAAAGTACAGTTTGGCCTTCAGCAAAGCGATAAGTATCGTCTTTATTTTTTATTGTTTGTCCACAAACAAATTCTTCCCCATTTGATGTTTGCAGTACTTGACCCGCAAGGAAGAAAGGTTCATTTGTATTTTCATTTGTTACAATGTGACCAGGAATCAATCCAGGGCCAGCTGGAGTATTTACACTTAAACCAGGAACAAATACGGGGCCGATAGGAGTGTCAACTGTTTGACCGGGCACGAAAACAGGACCTTGTGGTGTATTAACCACTTGGCCAGGAATAAATGTCTTCGCCTTATTTATATCTAATGTAAGACCGGATATTTTACCCACTTTTTCTCTCTTTCCTTTTTTAATATTTTTCACAACTTCAGAAAGATGTTCCATTGTTGGAAGAAGATCAACTTTATCACTTTCCACTAACTTTTCTATAATATCTGCGGTATCGGTCAAACGTTCTTTTGGTATTTCCTTAACGGCACTCAAAACTGTTTCTGTGGGACGTGTCTTTATTGGTTTTAAAGGATTGACACAAGGCACTACTTCTAATGGTATGGACACTTCACCGACATTTCGGTCAACTTCATAAATTTCCGCATCACAGTGGTGTGGAGTTATTTTTACCGGCGTCGGTAATTTAGTTGCTTTAGGTACGATGCGCTCGTTAGTTACATCTTTCTCAAATGTTTCCCAATCCCACGTCTCGATAATTGGGTGCATTTGTTCTCTCCATTCACTAGCGCATGCTATAATACTTGACTTTGACCGCATGTGGTGTACATCAAAGCTATTATAGCTAAATGTTTTGACATCATGTTTAACTTCTTCAAACTTAGCTTTTTTCGCTTTTCGTTCGACGCGTAACTTTTCTTCTTCAAGTTCTTCTACCTCTGCTAATTTCTCTTTGTTTTCAAATATTTTCTTCATAGAAGACAGTCCAGCAGCTCGTTTCCTCTTCTTCTTCTTTTCTTCTAATTCTTCAATTTCTCTTTGTTTTAGTACCTCAGCATTAGGTCCTTCACCTTCAAACATTTCAACGTCTTCAGTGAAATCCTTGAAGTCCATAGAGACACTGCGACCATGCTTTGTTTTTATCAACACAGTATCAGAATCCTTAGCCAGCATGACATCTCTGACGTCACCATCTCGCACTGCCGCTTCCATTTGAGCGGAAAACACCAAACTGCATCTTCTCTCTTGCACTGTATACACGTAACGCTTGTCTTCTGTAACTTGTTTGCCGAGTAACATTTCCAACAGGCTTTTCTGTGCTTCCGTAGAGCCATCGAGTACAGGGAAAATATATCTGTAGTCTGGAAGAATCTCGTGTTTTCTATTGCCATAGTTTATCTCAGGTGAGTAGTGATGTGGTCCCAGTTCGCCGGATACGTTTGTTATTTTACATTTTGCCTTCGATGAGCGGGCGGTTAGAAGTACTGGAATGTAGTGGTGTGAAGGCAGCCCATAGGATTTTCCGGTGATCCTGCAGCATCGCTTGGCGTCAGCAGGAGAAATAGGGGCGAGTAGCGGGAAATAGTTGGGCTTCGGTAGCCCTCGACTGCGGCCAGTTATTCTACAGAACGACATCTTGATTTATTTATTCGGGCATATTTGTTTATAAAAGTCCTCAAAAGCTTATAGTTTATTTTGGTTTGATAATCGCGATCGTAGCGGGCGGGAGACTCGCGTGCGCGTGTGAGCGCGTGTGCTCTGTGTCGAGTGTGCAGGCCGACTAGCGCTGCGAAGCTTTGTGGCTGAGCTTAAGGCGCCCGCGCATCGATTCGCACCTTCGCTTCAGACGGTGTGCCGTATATTTGTTCCGGTTACAGGTTATTTATAAACAAAAGAAAGATGAATTTATTCTTTAAGCCAAAATATATGACACAGTTTTACGCTGAAAACAAGTAAACGGCAGCTTAGAGTTTTAGTTTTAATTTGTCCTCATGAAAGTTTAAAACTTTCATTTCGTTTTTGCAATTATATCAAGAATATAATATTCATCAGTTCGATTATGTAAGGAAGGTCAAACTGTCTGTGATCTCTGTCTGTGATGTGAAATTAAAACTAAAATTAAGAAATCTACTATTAATAATATCGGTCCTGTCACACGCAAAAAATACTCGAAGAGATAATAAACCAAGTGTCATTCAGTGGTTGTGGTTTTGACTTGTGACGAGATGCGACAGTCAGTTGTTAACCTCGTCAAACAAATAGTTATTTTTAATTTTCCAATCTAAACGTGGACCTTCGCGGTGATTGCAAACGGGCACGGTCACATCCACTGTTTATTTTTGTTGTAGAAATTCATAGAAAGTTGTCAACATGATGTAGGTGAAGTACGAACCTAAATGAAACGATTTTAAAATAAACTGAAAATATTAATGAAAGAGAAAAAGCGGTTTAATTGCGCTACAGATCGAGAACAAACCTTTTCTTCACAGTCTTAAAATAAAAATAACACCATGAAGTGTAGGTATCCACTTATCAAAAAGATATCAAAGTCATTATGAGGACCTAGGTAGGTACTTATTACTTAACTGCACCATATAAAACCAATACAATTTGTTACTACAGTGTCCAGTGTCCAAAGATTTACGATTTTCAAGAGAAGATATCTAACCATTCAAATACAGTGAAACACATTTTATTCATAAAACCAGTATACCGATGACATTGACACCACTTCGCGTCATAAATCACCAACAGGCATTCAAAGAATTCTATTTTGAGAATAGATCGAACTGTATTTCATAACTAATACGTTTGCTTGCCTTTACCTTGATAATTTACCACATTATTCCAGTTTCCTGTTACGTATACTTATTGAAAGTCTACATATGTTCTTTAAAGACGTGCAAGAAATGTATTGTAACTAAACAAGCTATTTAAAACCTGTAAACGTTTACTAAAATAAGTATAGCAAACTGTATTTGTTTGCAATTTGAGGTTTATTACATGATGTCTAATTTTGTAACCTTCATTATATTATCACAATAAGTGGTAATTACTGGTCGTGGACTTACCTACTTGACGTTTTGAATATGTCCTATGTTCCGTAGTTAGAGCGGAGTTTGATTGCATATTGTGGTTAAAAAGTTACAGTACCTACACTTTCAGAGTTGACAACCACATATAGTGGTCGATGTATACGATACGAATGTTGTTAATTTTGACTTCTATATAACATATTGCATATTGTGGTTAAAAAGTTACAGTACCTACACATTCAGAGTTGACAACCACATATAGTGGTCGATGTATACGATACGAATGTTGTTAATTTTGACTTCTATATAACATATTGTGGTTAAAAAGTTACAGTACCTACACATTCAGAGTTGACAACCACATATAGTGGTCGATGTATACGATACGAATGTTGTTAATTTTGACTTCTATATAAAATTTCGTGGAAAATCGAGCGTTTATTTTCACAAGAAATATATTAAAATTTCCTTTATTCTACAAAGAACAAGTCTATTAACGTCTTTTGCAATAAAAAGGGCATGACAATCACCGTGGGCGGCCATTTTCCGAACCGTTTAGCAAATGGGGTCGCAAAATAATGTTGACACTAGACATATGGCCGTACAATCCTATATAATTTCACACCAGATTCCAATGGCACGGCTGACTAATGACTTGCAATTTTTCCACTCCGATATAATAGTGTAAAATAGTAAATGTTCACTACTTTTATTATAAGATTCGTTAAGAGCTCTTGATAAATGTTGTAACGTTTTATAAAATACTGTTCTTATTTACAAACGCTATTTATTCAAAAGTGTGTCTCTTCGATGATCTAATTTTCAGGACTAGGGTAACCTGAACGAGGTTTTTTCTGTTTTTATAATAACTATCGTGAGACATACTAAATTAAGTAAAATCGCGGTCGCGGCCACCGCGCACGCTGCTTATGAGGAAGAACCGCTCTGTGGTTCGAAACTAGTAGAGCTTTTCTCAGTATATTCACGTGAGTAACCCGCGATTTTACTTAATTTAGCTTTTTTCTGATTAAAAACAATGTATTTTAGGTCACGTGTGTAAGATTTCTTAATACTCTTACGAAGATTGGCAGTAGCAAATAATGATAATAAAAACTGCATAACACTGACCGAAGATAGTATACAGCCCAGCCTGTCTTTTCAAAAGTTAGCGTAATATTATGTAACTATTTTAAGAATTATGAAGCTCAAAATGCGTCAATTTCTCGGTACCAATCTAAACCGCGATATAAATGAAGAGGAAGCGATGGTTACAGTTTGCAGTAACGGTAATTTACCTCGTTTCAAAGGGTATTTCATTGGAACTGCTGCAGTTAAACGTAGCAGCTTGTTGCTACGAGCACTTCTGTAACTTTACCAATAATAATTTACTACTGGTCATTGACCTGTGAATTTTCAGTTTAGTCTAGAACCATAGTCTTATGGTTTGTACGACTCACTTTTAAACATACTTAGATGTAGTTTTTGAGGTAGAACATGTCAGTATGTTTTCTTTTTACATAAATTTATTTAAAAAAAAAAAATTTAATCAACCTTTTGGTCATTGCAGACGATTGTAACCGGCATAAGGCAAAGAACAAGATATTCAACAAAAAAGTTAAGCTCATTTCCTATTAAAATAGGAGCAGAAGGAAATCCACATTAGATACAACACCACTATGAGTGCCATGGGATAAGGAACGAGAATAACACAATAAAGATATTATTGTATCGCACACAAACCCAGGTAATTTGCGATGTCCTAGGGATGTGTCGTAACAGGCGTTGCACCGTGGAGGCGCCGGAGCAGGTCTCTTCTAGAGGACTCGGTGCCTCCATTCAGGTGTTGAGGGTGGCCACCGGGGTAGTTTTAGTGAGGTAAAAATCCCACACTCCCTAGTCTTTTATCCCCAAAAAGGCTGGGCGCCTTTTGAAGGTTTCCCACCGTCATCAAAAAAAAAAAAAAAAGGTAATTTGCGATGTAAATAAGGTGGAACTGATTAAAGCTAGTAGTGCTAGCTTTTGCTTAGCCCTTTAAGGCAAAGCAGCAGTCGGCTGGCGCTGTAATATCTCATAGGTACAGTTTGTATCATCGTGTGCCAAGCTTTCATCGCACAGACTTGTATGAGACATCCGCATCTCTAATTATGTCTGTCCTAATTACATTCATATATTTTCATCACTCCACACGTGACTCTAGTCACTTGATACATCATTTATTTAATATTTCTTAGATAGGTCATTAATTGGTCATGTTATTAATTATCAATTTTTTAATTCCTAAAAGATCGGCAACGCATTTGTACCTACTCAGCTAATGTCCGTGGGCAGCGCCGATTGTTTACCATCAGGTGTTACAGCTATGTCTATCCGGCCTAAAGGTACTTTAAAAAATGTATTTGGCAGCAAATTCTTGTGTAAATATTTTATTTTGTCAAATGTTTCATTTTATATGTTTCAAAAGTTGTATAAAACTTGCATAAAAAGTAACACCTCTGTAGATAAAGGCAAACAGATACAATTTAGTTGTACCACACCACTTGAAGAATTTAAGAAGTTTTTACCCGTTCTACTTTTACATAGTACCTACCATGTGTTAGACAAACTACTTAGTCCAGTCTGTTTACACGAGTGTGACCTAACTCTTGACGTGGAACCTTGAATATATTTTATTTTCAGTATTATGAGAATAAATACAAAAACATTGTATGTAATTGGGTCAGGTGCAGTGTGTGTTACATCTAGACTTCAATAACAACATTCGATTGAAAATAACTGTAAGTAAATGTTATGTAAATAATTATCATCGTTTAATAAACAATGGAATTTTTATTTTTGTATCTGGTCTCTGTGTTGTGGCCTATTAGGAATTCAACTCGAAAAGCAGAATGTAGTTTAGAAACTATTTTTTTACTTTATTTTTACTGATTTCTTCTGAGATCTTTCAAAAGTCCGAGGTAAAGTTTAGCAGTGGACAATCCCGGGTTTTTGATGATTAGAAAAACAAAGCCGATTTCTTATCAACACCAACTCTGTCAAACTCTAGCTGTAGAACAATACAAAAATATTCACGAACAACGCAATACTTATTTTAACTCCTATAAAATACAAAACAAAAAAACTTTACAATTCCTTTAAAAGTCCATTACAGACGTTTCGCTGAAGCAATAAACTGAACACTGCAATATCTCCATAGGGGTGGTAAATTCAAAGACGTGTTGCTGCCAATAAGTCTGATTTATTATTGCCAAATTTCCTTATATTCAATAACCATACAACACTAAAGTACTTAAAACTATTCGCTGATTAAGCGCAACGTACCTTATTGTTTCTCAATCAACCTTGAGTTACAAAGATGTTCTTATGTCCTTACACGTCCCTCGAAAAAGTGGGGCTTCACCCCTTCCCTCAGGGAGAAAAAAAAAATGTTGATCGATACTGCAATAAGTTACTTTGTAAAATATATTTTTTTTTTTTATCTTTCCTTTATAACATATAATTCAAATAATTTACTTAATCGTAAAACATCTTAGTTAAGTTCTTATGAATAACATATTCTTTATTATTCTTTATTATTTTTACATTAGGTGAAATGTCTTCTATAACCTCATACGGTCCAATATAAATATTATCTAATTTTGTACCTGTTTGATTTTTTATTAAAATAAGATCACCTTTTTTATAATGGATAGGAGACGAGTTTTTATCGTAAATATTTTTCCTTAAAAGTTTACATTGTAAAAGATTATTCCTTGCATTACAATGAGCTTTTTGTAGCCTATATTTAAGTTCTAAGGGATAGCTAT